GTTGATAAAAATTTACAATGTTTTTAACATCTTATCAGATTACCACAAAATAAGCTGATGTCAAAGTAGTAATAAGTGACTTACTTGTGTATTTAAGTAACAGTACTTACATATATAAAGAAATAACAGTATTCGACATTAATGGTTTAATGATCTCGTGTGAATTTCGCGCGTGTGAGTAGGACTAGCTTATGTTATAAGGGGACTATAACATCAACAGGGGTCGTACAATGTTGCGCGTCACAACGGGAATGTTGCCATAGCTGCCATGTTGGCAACCCGCTTAATGGATAACAACATATCGTTAAAATATGTTTTGAATCGGTTGCACTAGCGATTAAATTTCCGTCCACTAACAAACATTGTAAATTATCAGATATATGCATACAAAACCCATCTCTCGGATGCGAATCCATAACCTTAAGTGATTCTTGACCGACCCAATTAATTATTACGTCTAAAATACTTTTCTATAAGTATCAATGAACTAGAAGCGTTGTGTATTAGTATTCACCAAATATAATAAGTTTTATTTGTATTACTTAAATATTTGTATAATGATCTGTCCTCTTTGATAGAATGTCTCCTAGAACTTGGATATAAAAAAAACCTTTCCATGGACTGCTTATGTATCTGAGGTTAGTCGTAAGACTTTTTTTCTCATTTCACACACTTAAATGCCTTCAAATTTATTACCTTTTAAAACTAAAGTTTTACTGGCACAGTCCTTAATGATACCTCTTCTTGATTATGCTGATACATGTTCCTTGGATCCCACTGAGGAGTTATTAAACAAACTCGAACGACTACAAAATCTAGCGATTAGATTTATTTATGATCTTCGCAAATATGATCATGTGTCACATTTACGTAAGCAGCTTCTGTTCAACATCCTGAATAATCCCGTCTATCCTTCCTGTCTGCGTGAGCGTTTCTCCTTTCTCCATTCTCCTGATGCTTTTTGCAGATCCCACCTTAATTCCATACTTCAAACTCCTACACTGTTTATGCTGCAGACTCTGGAACTCTCTACCAGCCGATATACGTGACAGTCGCATTATTTCTTTGTTCAAATAAGAGTAAAGGATCATTATCTTTCCTATTTTTGATATTGGAAAATGTAGGTATTGTTAATCTTTATATATTATTTATATAACGTTCGCACAATTACGTAAGTTTTTTGTATTTTTTATTTCCCTCTTTCCCGGTATTTGTATTTGTTTATATATTTCGTATTAATTTTATTTAGGAGGTACACGCTGACTACCTTATTGTATTTTTTTTCCTGTTGTGGGCCTGCTGGTAGAAATTTCAATTTGAAGTAAGCAGTACCCTTGTACTAATGTCTGTTACATTTGTCCATGTGAAATTGTATGTGTGTACAAAATAAATAAATAAAATAAATCTTTCTGTCTGGTAATTGTGATGCCATCGTGGATTGTTATGTATTATCTAGCACACATACACACACACGCATACGCGCGCACACACACACACACACACACACACACACAGACACACACACACACACACACACACACACAAACACACACACACACACACACACACACATACACTTACAGATCTAGTGGTTATCCGATCCCAAGATATATGATATCGTAGGGCTAGATTGGTATAGATTGAGAGATTTTTTAGACACTGCATTGTTTTATATAACTTCTCACTTTTAGTATTTTCTAATATACCTTTATAAAATAGTTTAATAGTCTAGCAACCTAAGCAAACCTTATTTTGTTATTAAGTTCCTAAGGAGGAGCAGAACCACCCGACACAAGCGCTTTTTAGGCACTTCCTGGGTGATTCTGGCCACATTACTGTTATATGCAATTTAAGGAAATAAAATTATTGACAACTCCGTGAGTAAATAAGTACCACACTTCACATGTTTACGACGATTTAATTGTCATAAGTTAAATTAACTCATGTTAACTTTGTTTTCTCACTTGAGTTAAATAGCTTAACAATATGGAATTAATACAGTGTGCACGAAGCGTTGGCTCATACGATGTTGTCTTTGCGAGTTTGCGATTATGAAAGTTCAATGTAGTTCGGAAGTAGGATATACTGGTAGTCAAAGTTTAATACGAGCTTCCCGATTACTTGATTTTGGAATTTCAACCTTGTGTTGTATACAACGTTTTTTATGCTCTCGATATAATTTGAAAACTATGGATTTAAAGATTACGAGTTTTATTTCATTTTGATATCACCCGAGAAAATATTCAATTTATATATATTTATGAAATGACCTAATTAAACTAATGCATGATATCTAACAAGACACTATTAAAAATATGGGATGTTTTAATGTCCTATAGAGGGCGCTATATTCAATCTGCATACAATCAAGACGTTATATCAATAATAATCATAATCTTAACAAGGATTACGAAGGAAGGAGTGTTGATGAACATACGTATGTACTACTCTCCTTTTTTGATTTAGCGTAGTCGGGTAAATATTAACATTATTATTATTCTTAATGAAAAATAATTAAAACATCGACTTGGTTCCTAGCACCCAGAGATGGGTCTCGAACCCACGACCTTTCGTAATCCGGATGACAGCTCTCTAAATTTCGCGTTCACAATGCTATACTGAAAAATATACTTAATAAAAAATCAAGTGAATTTTTAAGCATTTTTCATATATCATTGCGAAAGCGAAATTATAATAATTATTATTATTTATCTAAATACCCTTTGCATCTAAAACTAGGAGTTTGTATACATACTTCATTAAGGTTATTGTTTTTCGTTATGTTATTATAATGGCAATATTTAAAAAGTTACGAATTTTATAAGTTGTTGGACATTTGTAACCATTTAGAGAAAAATCACTCACATTATGTTGTATCGAGCTTGTAGCAAAATTAATTATTATTGTGGTCAGTATTCTTCTACTCAAATAAAATTTAATGGCTTCGCGTATGGAAGCCGAGAATAGCTGGACAAATGCAAATATTTTTTAAATACGACACTTTTCATAACTCACAAATTCGCCGGGTTATATTTATGAATATATTTTTATATTACAATTTTCAAGCAATTAATCCTCATAAACCGGATTAATATATAAAATACTTTTAAAAGGTTTCCTAAGTATAACGACTTCAAAATATACACGAGCAAAATGACAGAAAAAGTTATTATTTTTACTTTCAACTAATTATGTCTACATAGTTCTTTATTACTTTCAGTCAGTATAGTGGGACTTTGGGACCTTGACCGATAAAATATATTCAAGGGTGTTATATTGTAACATAAAATATAATATTATTTTCTATTTTCAAAGCGGTTTCTTTCACGAAGTTTAAAGGTTCAAAATGCATGGTCTTAAACGAGTAAGCTTTTGCTCTATTCTACGCTTATCAGTGCTGGGTGTTGTATTATTGATTTACATTTTTGTAAATTACGTGACTACGTGACAGCCTCGTCTGGCATGTCGTGGATGTATACGACACGCCGTGCGTGGCGTCACGCGGCGTGGGGCAAGGGGGGCTAAATTTATAACTGACGCTTTCAATACGACGCTCACTGCGCTAATGTATACTCGTATGAATATAAACCTCTACAAAATGACAGTAATATTAAATGAAAAAGTTTAAAAACAACAAACAACTTCTTTCCCGAAGCAACGTGTTATACGTACTAGTAAATATTTTACGCAGACAAACTCTGATCTGGGACAACGGCAGTAACCCGCCAAGTCGAGTCAATCGAAGCGCAAGGAGCTTGAAATTTGGTACCTATGCAAATCAATATTAGTAAACACTAAACGTACGATAAAAATCTACATCTTAAAAATTTTATTTCGCGATCCCTGAACCTACAAGATGGATTTTTTATGAAACTGCATCAAATTTTGATGTCAGCGATCTAAAAATTGGTATTTTCCTAAAAAGAGACTCCTTGAGTAAAGCCACATATTTTAACTAAGGTATAGATTTTGTGTAGTTAGGGTTTGTAGAATCCTAGGGTGGGTCCGCGGGGATAGCCCCACATAACCCGCTGACCCCGCGCTAGGGAATAGCGGGTATGGGTAACGCATTTCCCAGCGTTAAAAAAAAGATTGGCCATGGTTAGAAGCTTGGTTCCACTCATGTAGAGCCTGTACAAAAACTTTTAATAATAACAACAGAGCCCGTACACAGCGCTGTGGTCAGAGTATTATTCATTCACATAACATTTGTGACATACATCAAATCATCATCATCATCGTGAATTAACTTATGACCATATTATACAATAATGCCTGTTTTAAGTTCCAACTCTATCAATTTATAAGGTGATTTTTTACACGTACACAATGATAAGTCAATGTATTAGGTTATCGCAATCCATGTATACTCTGCCCTCGTCTGTTATCGTGCAACTTTGCCATTACTGTGAATATAATGTCTTTTTTTTATTATTAATAGCATCGAATGGTTACAAACTGAGTTTGCAATCTGTAGCTTCACTGTAATTTGAAGGTATCAACAGAAGTTGAAAAACAAATGAAACCCACTCAAGTGAATGGGGGAAATCGGAAAGTGGTAGGTTGTGGTCTATTTTTCTAGTATTTCCTTCACATTGAAATTATTGGAAATAGGTAAAATAATGAATATTGTCTGACTTAGCGACTCCTATTTGTACCGATATACTTCAAATGATGGATGGTCTTTATCAAACAAGAATACCTACAAAATATTGAAGATATCCCTCCAAATTGATTGATATTGGCTCTGGCTTTATTTTACCCCGCAGACTACTATCGTTATAAATTGACGAGACATTATCGATGACATTTATTATGTGTGCCTTATCCGCGGCGGGCAGCCAACCGTTATGTGATGTTTTGTTTATTGTGCACACAAGCAAAGTTTATCAACGGAAATGGCATATGAACAGTTAAGATAAACTATCGGGTCAGCCTTTAAAATATTCTCATATTCATTTAAATGGACAGTTACTTAATAATATAGCAAGAGAGGAGACATGTCAAAGAAAGTCGCCGTCGTCACCGGCTCCAATAAAGGCATTGGATTTGCCATTGTCAAAGGACTCTTGAAAAGATTCAAAGGTGTCGTATATTTGACGTCAAGAGATGATGCAAGAGGTAAAGCGGCCGTAAATCAACTTAACGAGCTCGAGCTTTATCCAGAATATCATCAACTCGATATATCAGACAGAGAAAGCGTTCTTAAATTCAGAGATCACATAAGAAACCAACATGGCGGTATTGATATTTTGGTTAATAACGCTGCGGTTGCAGACGGCCTCCTAGGCTTAAATAACACATATGACCAAAGTAAGAACACTATAAACATTAATTTCTTCAGCGTTTTAACGGTTCAGGAGCTACTTTTCCCCTTGGTAAGGGACAATGGACGGATTTTGAACATATCTAGCGATTGCGGACATCTTTCAAATATCAGAAACAAATATTGGATAGAGAGATTGTCCAACAAGAACCTAACAGTGAATGATATAAAAGAGTTTGCGAACTGGTATTTGGAATCATTTAAGAATGGAACTTTCAATAAAGCTGATATCGCTGATGGAGGAACTGTAGCTGCTTATAGAGTGTCAAAGGTGGCTTTGAGCGCGCTGACGATTTTGCAACAGAAAGAATTGGCTTCCAGAAATATAGCAGTAAACTCTATGCACCCAGGACTAGTCAAAACTGATATGACTACGGGTATAGGCTTTTACGACATCGACCAGGCAGCAGATACTCCTCTTTACTTACTTCTAGAGGCGCCTCAAGATCTAAAAGGTGCATATGTTTGGTATGACAGAAGAATACTGGACTGGTATGATTATAATGCGGATTACTATTTCAAATCAAAAACTATCATGGAATAATTCATATTTTTATTAAATATATGAGGAATGAAATATATGAGAAAAAATATGAGGAATATATGAGAATATACGAGTTTGTTTCACATTTTTGTAAATGATAGCCAATTAAAAAAAGTGCTGTGAATGTTCGAATATTAATTTATATAAGCGTTCATTGGCAAAAAACAGCCAACAGCTAGTTAGACTCGCACGCATTGAGTTCCTCCACAAATATAGAATTTTATGTGTTCTATACGTTATGAACTATTTTGGATTTCAAAATTTAGGCTGCATATTTTTTCCATATTTTCTTTTATAGCTTCAATACTATCTTATATCTTATAAATCTTTAAATAATAAAAAGAAATATTTAAGACACAACATTATGTATTTGCTTTTTATTATATTTTCTTACTTACGCTCAGAATAATGAGGATACTCAATGATGAGTTAATTGGTGCTATGGATAGGATGTGTGATCTGCGATGCGGAAGTTAAGCGAATCTCGCAAGGGCCGTCCATAGGATGGGTAACTCGACAGAAATATTCTTATCACGCTCATTTGTTTTTCGGAAGGCATGTCAAACCGTTGGTACCCGCTGCATCGGCAGTCGTTGACACCCACCAATCCTCACTGAGCCCGCATATTGTATGGCCCATTCTATAATTCTAGTCCATTGATAAGTAATGCCTGTGAACATTGATAGTTTTACGCCACAAAAGAGAACTCTATGTTAGAAAATACATTAATTAACATTACACAATCGCCTTTGGATCACTAAGTTAAGTATGTAGTATCCAATCGAAACCGAAACTTCTTTACGAAGATCATGTTTTTAAGGAAAAATAATGAAACCTTATTATAATCAGTCGGTCTTCATTTCTTACCCGACCGCAAAGGAAGGGTTACGTTCTAATTGAAACAACTTTTAACGGTTTTAGCGCGTTTGTATTTGCATTCCATGTTCACGTTTTCGTGGTACATAAAAAAAAGACAAACGACACTTTAGTCTTATGTGATCAGGGAACCTGTAAAGGATCCGACTTCATGAAAGCAAATACGAATGCGCTGAAATCGTTTAAAGTTATTTCATTTAAGGGTTATGCTAAACAAATTTACGTAGTTGGAGTATCGTTAGTTTGTTTTAGCAGTCTAAGTACTCTTAGATAGATGACGTTAAAATAAATTATTGGAAAAAGCATTATAAATCAACTTAGCAGCTACCTTAGTAAACATTTTATATTATATAACTTAATTAAATTTTATATTATACACTCTTTTGTCAACCTTCACTGATGAGATAATCTCATATTTAGCGGACAAAGGGAAAGTGATTACTATAATTTTTTATTTTAAAAAAATCTTCAAAACTTTGCAACGAAACTTGAATGCAGAGAAAAGAGTTCTTCTCCTAATCCATGCCCTCAAGTTTAATTATTATCACGATAAATTCGATAATTGTAAATTTAAACCACCCTTATTCTAAACAATATTGTATCTAATATTTTAATAATAAATAAATAAATAATTAAAAAAAAATAAAGCAATATCAACCAACCGATCAGGGCGTGAGAACCCCCGAATGAAGTTTCGGTTTCTGTCGTGTTTCGGCAGGTATGCCATCGAAAAAGAATCCCGTCTTTTTTTGCCGAGACTCGACCGAAATCGAAACTGAACTTTCATTCAAGCACCATACATATGTTTATGTGTATTTTTAATCAATCACTCCAGTGAGATCAGTGAAAATTAGCTATATCAGACGGACAATCAGAGAGTCCTTCTGAAGAGCGAAACATTAAAACATTTGTATCAGTTAATTGATCAATAAACAGCGCGTTTCTTCGTTAAAATCAAACTAAAACAAAAATATAATATAATACAAAAAAAAAATAAGTCACAATTCACCTCATAACAGAGCAGTCGCCAAGTTTGTGGAATTTTAGTTTTGGATTTCACCCTGGGCACCTAACACTACCTAATCTTTTAAGTATTTTACTTTAAGATACAGGCATTATTTAAAATATTTGTAGTCACGAGTAGTACCTATAGTAACATATACATATACCATCTAGGGTTTATCATTCTGATGGTAACTATTTCGATAAATATACATTTTATATTTTAAATACTCACTTAGTTAGCTGGATCATACACCAGAAAAAGATCTTGGCCTACGACGTTAGAATCCATATTTTAAGTACTGAAAAATAATTCAATATTCGAGTGTAACAATTAGAACAGTCAATGTAAAGAGGTCTAAAACTATAAGACACACGAAAATTATTCATATGAATTATATCGACTTTACTGATAAGAAATACTGCATTAAAAATGGTTTTTATGACTATTTCCAAACATTCATAACTTGTATGCGTAACGAACTGCTCAATTAACGAAAAAAAATAAAAATAAATAGTATGTGCCGAGCCATAGTATGTGTGTACAACTTGTTTCTTTTATTTTAGTTCGATTAAGGAAGTCATGCTTTTTATTTTTTAATGTATTCCTTTTAGCGAGCTGTTAATTATGTGCACAAGTTATATATTTTTTGGTAAGTACTAATCAAGACCTTTCAATTGATAAAACTTACATAATTGCTTCTATGTCACGTTTATATGAGTGAAGGTCACCAATACCGGTTATCATCGTGAGTAAGCAACTACAATGCCGGCAGTTAACACATATATTATGTCACCGCTATGTTAGTATCAGATTGTTGTTTAGAACACACGGTCATGTCGGAAAAAATAGCAATAGTCACCGGCGCGAACAAAGGTGTCGGTTTTGGGATAGTCAGATGTTTATGCAAGAGGTTCGACGGCGTGGTATATCTGACGTCACGCGATGAGGCCAGAGGAAAACAAGCGGTAGCCGTTTTAGAAAAAGAGGGTTTCAGTCCTCGGTACCACCAACTGGATGTAGCTGACATATCATCGGTGGCCAAGTTTCGTGACTTCGTAGAGAAGAACCATGGAGGTATAGATATAATCATAAACAACGCAGGAGTAGCTCCCGGAACAGATGAAAATACCTACGAGCTGAGTAAAAGTGTTATTGATATCAATTACGGAAGCATAGTAAACGTTGAGGAACTACTTTTCCCATTATTGAGAGAGAATGCGAGAGTTTTGCATATATCTAGCGATTGTGGCCATCTGTCTAACGTAAGAAATAAAGAATGGATAGAGAGACTGAGTAAAAAAGATCTAACTAGGAAAGATATAAATGATTTTGTCGAGTGGTACCTCGATTCTGTAAAGAAAGGTACTTTCAAACAAAGTGACTTTGCTGATAACGGAACCATACCGTCGTACAGAGTATCCAAAGTCGCCATGAGTGCATTGACAATAGTGCAGCAACGAGAACTGGAACCGAGAGGTATTATAGTGAACTCTATGCACCCGGGGCTAGTCAGCACAGATATGACAACTGGAATAGGTTTCTACAGCATAGATGATGCCGCAAGAACACCAGTCTATCTAGTTCTAGAGGCACCGCCTACTATAAAAGGCGCTTACGTTTGGCATGACAGAACTGTCGTCGATTGGTACGACTATAAAGCCAATTATTATTTCAAAAGGAATTCAATATTTATACAACTAATCAAAAATACCTTTTCTAAGGTATCAATACATATTTATATTGGTGTTTTTTCATTAATTATAATAGTGGGAATTAGAAAATTTTTGTATTTTATCACCTAATACACAGCTTTGTCATATAAGTTTAGTTTCATTCTGTCGATACTATTCGCAGTTTTAGATCCACATCCCTCTTATCCCATCGACGTGGCTACTCAGTAATTCAATATCCCCGGCTCTTGCATTTGTCGTAAAGCATATAAGCGAAACGTTCAGTGCGAATAAATCGACATGCACAACATACGGAATGATTGATCGCGCACGCGAATGATTCCCGACAGTTAACCGCGAAGTGAATTACCAGATCGCGGCACCGCAGAGCCGGTTCCATGCGTTCCCATGAATAATTCATGTGTTCCATTAATGCAGTCCCGTGTAAGTGCCTGTTTGCTCGCTTTAGAAAGATTGTTTCCGTGAGGAGTTATTGCGTAAACATTGAATATCAAGAGGAGGCAATCGGGGTCCACGGTCTCACTGTTTACACTACGCTTTACGGTCGCGAATGTAGCGACATGTCTTGTTCGGCGCTCGACTTTGCCGTTATGCTTGGTTAAAATATTTTTTTATGTATCTCTAAGGATCGAAGAAGAGTTTCTGTGCAATCTAAACAAAAATTCTAGACTTTTTCTACCAGCCTGGAATTTTATAGGATTCTCTATTCGTTAATAATTACATGATTTAACTTTACTATTTAATTATAAACGAAAAACTGAATCAAATAAAAATATATACTCATACAATGTACTGATTACTTCTAATATGTACTTGTATTGATACTGATATCAGTTATATTAATGAACAAGGTTTAGCGTCAGATTAAAAGTTAACCTAAAATTGAAATTTTGGTATAGTCCAAATTCATATTATACAGAGAATAAGCAAACCTCGTACCTTCCAGGAGTAATTATAACTCCCATAGAACCTCGTTCTAATTTAACCTTTGCTTATATAAATTTTAACTAATACTAAGTCCAATCTCAGCGTAAATTCCCTCCAACGCTAAATCTTGTTTATAACTAAGTTTCTGGGTGTTTTTCCTATGATTAATATGAACAATATTTGTAACAGCTAATTCATTAAAATATATTAATAGTTTGCCCTGATAGAGCGCCACATGTATAGGTACCTATAATATAATGCCCGTTTCATAGTTATAATGTGATATGCAATATATAATTTGATTTGGAAAGTATCTTCCAATAAAACAATCATTCTATAGTTCATATTGCACGTAACAATTACTTGAATGTTGTATTATAACTTTGTAATGGAAAATGAAACTAGAAGAAACACAAGCAGGATTGGAGACATCTTAATAAAAATAAAAGGAGTGGTTAAGATTTCTCCGGTTGTGTAAGAGGAGCGACACGACCTAAATTAGTGTTGTGAATGATCGAGTCGTTAAACTTTACCGATTATTTGATATTTGATAAATTTTAAATTCACGTTTTATCACATATTTACACCCTGAGAGTTCAGGTCCCGTCTCGATCACTAGAAACTGTAGATTTCTTTAAGTATTTTTAAATAAGTTTAATACACTTAAAATTTATTTTGACTTCTAACATAAAATACCTTACAAATACTAAACAAGTAATACATTTACTAATAATAGTTTATTTGCACACTGTATGTGTGATTTTTTTACATTATGAAACAAGAGAATTTAATTATTAATTATTTACTTCATGATATATATCGTACCAATAGTTTATTAACTGTTTTACAAATTATCTTTACTTTTTTTTTAATAAATTATACCTACCGAACTGTCAAAACGTAATACCGGACAATTTAATTTTTCATATCAATTATTTATTTACTAATAACTACAAATCTTCTAAAAATTTCCATTACAATATCATTTATGTAACATTGTGTAAATCTGTGAAGTACAGACTTAGATTAATAAATAGGTCCATTTTGAAATATAACAAAAGAAGTTTCTAAACTAGTACTTTTAGGGTTACTTTGACGTCATAACTTTAACTGTAAACTATAACCGCCTAAGATTCGCTGGTTAAAGTTATTGTTTTACCAAGAAAGAGGTTGGTTTAGCAACACATCCCACAATGTTAAAGACAGCGTGACAGATATTGTCAAATTTGACATAAACCTTGACTTTAACAGCAATTATGGTGCAACCAAGACTTATTGTTATAAATTTCCTAATAAATTTAGCTGCATTAGTTACATTTTCAGCCATCTGTTATTGCTTAACTGATATTACAATCGATACATAATTACTATCGATATCACCTTTAAAATTTCTTCTGTTACAACACAACTGGAACTGTGGGACGGAAAATCGAATCAGCTTGTATCCAGGGACGGACTGGACAGACTTTGATTGTATTTTTATGAAGGAATTCATTGCTGTTGAAGGGTTGAACGAGTAATTGACGAGATATTCTGAAAATCTCAACATACCACGGTGCTTAAGCAATATAGTTTAAATTATTTTCTTTTACAACAGACTCATTTTTATATTCAACTAAAAAACTATGAGAAACTTAAAAATGATCCTCAGGTATTATAATATGTCCCTGATAAGGTAACAAACAAAATATGTATAGGTACTTTCTATGTCGACAAAAGGTTATTTATTGTACCATTAGTAACGTGTATTAAGCAAAATAGATCTAGTGAAATAAATAATATATCCATGAAATATTATTCTATATATTTACTCGAATGTTATTTATTAAAAAGATCATATGACATTTTAAACTCTTTCTGAGTTCAAATTAAAGTTGTCCTTTTATTTACTGAAAGCGAATCGTTCATTCATTGACTTTAAAGATATACTCTGAATAGCAAACCAGCCGGCCCGTGAACGAAGCGTTCGCGGTTTGTGTCGCGCCCCAGTCGACCGCTCGCAGTCGACCGCTCGCAGTCATATTTAATAAATATTTTCATCAAATGCGATTATTCCACAATTCCATCCCGTTAAATTATTCACTCCTCTGATCACAGAAACACTTAATGGATTGTAGATGAGGGACAACATTAACACTCGAATAAAACAAATATATGTATACCGTGATCTATTTATTCAGCATAATTTCCAGTCGAGAAATTCGGGATCTAATGGTTACAAATGAATATTCAGCTATTGCATTAACGAACCAACTTTGTGATGTGTTTCTGAATTAAAACTTTTTGGGACTTGTGACGAATGCGAAATTTTGAAGACCACGCTCCGGAATAGGGATTTCACGGCATCAAATTAGTGTTATAAACGCTGTTAAGAAAATATTTGTGTTGGAAATACAATTAAAATATGTAAGCGATTGCTTAGCAGACGGATTAGCCACAAATATATAATTGTCACGAAACAAGTCTGCCGTAACAATTACAATAATAATAAAGGATCGTTTAGGTGTTTATTAATTAAACTTTCACCGATCGCATCACTTGAACACATGACATCGTCACGCAATAATTCAAAGGAGTGCTGATATAAACTAAAATAATAGAAATTCGTGCACGTTCAAAATATGGAACTGTATGTTTTCACGGCGGCATTGTGTGTATCAGCCGGGACGGCGATGTGGTGTGGTTATGTCGCCGGGAGAGCGACACGAAAATTAGATGGAACCCTTCTGTTAGGAGCCGCTCGCTAGTCACGTGACAATCGAGAGAGATTGACTGAAACACGAGCATCATAGCGACGTGCTACTACAAGTTACAACACGCGCGCGTTTCATATTACCCTTAGATGGTTCAATTTAAATTGAGTGATAAGTTATTTTATTGCTGTCTTTAATCACTTAAAATCTGATATAAGATATAAACTCATTAAGATATATATGATAACAAATAAATAAGGTTAATAGATATAATTCCATATGGAATCCATATATTGGGTTAGACTGTAATGACATCATTTTATTGTTTGTACAATCTGCTATAAAATAAATGAACTAAAAGGTACTGTTTTATTATACAATACAAACAAACTCTTTTTCCATTGGCCCTAACAGATGGCCTTTTGTCGGAAATATAAAGATACTATTTATCAAATTAAAAATATAAACAATAAGATAAATCGGATCACAGATTCACATTACAAATAAATTATTTTAGAGATATTCTAACTACGTTAGTCAAGTAAGAATATATAGAACTGCTTACATAAACAGTCAACTACTACTTTAAGAGAACCTTTTTATTTAATATCATTTAGGTATGTTTAATATCATTTATTAAACGAACTTGTTTAATAAATTTTATAAAGCTTATATAATTATATTAATCTGGTAAGAACATTATCATTGCCGTTAGGTAGTCAACGACTACTTCAACCAAAGAGAAAATATACTTCAAGGGACTCTTTACTTAAATGAAATTATTTACTTTTTGACATTGTTTATAATAATATTTTTATAATAAATCATATATATTAACGAATATTTTCATAAAATAATATAATAATAACTCCACAATAACTACCGTTTAACCAAATACTTCAAAGAAACATTCATTAATAGTGTCTATGATTGTAAGTTTACATTTGGTAATAAAAATAGAAACAATTTAATTAGTTGTCAAAAATTAACATTTAACATAAATATTAATCCATTTTGACTCATAAAATGATAATTATTTTGAATGTTAAAATCTACTGAAAATACATAAATAAAATCACATGTGTGTCCCTCACTACGACAATCTATCAGAAAACTTGTATCTGCTCTCTAGATGCATTATTGTATGAAAAATGGTGCGCGGGTAAATTTAAGAAAAAAAAATGAGTTTTTAATCTATAATATTAAAGGCTTTATTTATAATAAAGACAAAATATTTATTTGTTTTCATAGTGAAAAAATACTTCACAATGCATTGTGACAATGAAGAAAAACCATAAAGGTTCAATAACCACATATGATTAGGTTAGGTTAGGTTAGGTTTGGTAGTACGAACAAACAACGCACGAGTCGAGCGAGCAAAGCGAGCGTGCCACGGCAGTGAAATATGAAAACAGTTATTATAAAATGAAACAGTTATTTAAACCAATAAATGTTTAGAACGCGTCGGGCACATCACCTGGAGGTCGAATAGTATGTGAGGCGAGACATGGATTTCGCTATGTGGTTATTTTGCGGTTTGTGGCAACCTGTCTGTTCCTCAAAAATCATAGTTTAAGATAAATTTAAGTTAGCCTATGTTAATCGTTCTGGCTTACTACATTTGGTGTGATCTTTCAAAATTCTAACTTTTATGGTACGTTCTAGATTACGATTTTATTAATTCATCACACGCTGTGAT